CAAAACATTCATTAAACTACTTAGTCCACAAACCATCATCCATCAAACAATCAAATTATCAGACTACTTGTTCACAAACCACAAACCATTATCCACAACATCACAACATGACAACTTCATCCACTTTGTCCACAATCAGCCATCAAAGTCAAACCATCAGACTACAAACCAAAACATCCAATTTAAACAAGTACTAAACACCAGCCAAACAACCTGTCAAGAAAGAGGATTTCTAAGGATGAGTGCTGCCATCCGTGCTCGATAGCCATCGACTGAACAAGTATTTAGGCTCGTCCGATAGTCTTGAGTATCGACGCCGTAACATTCCATTTCCATGCAAACAAGAACTCCACAGTCCTTCGGCCCGGTCTGCTTCCTTAGGTATCCTAAGCGAAAACTCTCGGTTTCATGAATGGCAAATTCTGCTTTCACACTCACATATCCTGCGAGGAACTTGGCCTACCAAAAAAATAAAAAAAAACAACAACAAAACACACGACTACTTTTTCGAAAGAAAATAAATAATAATTACAAAACAAAGTTTAATATGTCAATAACACTTACCAAAAGTTTCCCATCTCCTCGGTACTTCGGATTATCCATCGAGTTATGATACACAAAAGTCTGTTCGTCAACGTTGAAAACGACCAGGAAGAAGTGAAAACCGGAGTGCACCGGAAAAAACACATACTTCACCCCATTCAAGGACAACAGTACTTCTAGTCATCTTAGAAGTACAATCATCGTAATCTTCACGAAACCAAACTTTTTTGTTCTTCTTCATTTCTTTAACCGCACGCAACACATCAGTCTACAAATTAAATATTTTCTTAGCACTTTAACAATCTGTAAAATTAATAGAGTATAGTAAAATAAAGTACCTGAATATAAGTCGGCAGATAGCGAACACGAGGATGGCGACCACGCAGGATCTCCATGAAGCCATCAGTGAGTTCAGAATTCAGCTCGTTCCCGAACAAAAGATCAATAATTAATTTTCCTCGGATCAGCATACTCTCATTGCTCCACACAATTTTGCTACCAAAATTTGCAATTCTGATTAGTATATTATAAACAGAAATGAAACGATTAAGAAACTGAAATAATTTCTATTACTTCAGTCGATCGCTCGTCAGAAATGATCGAATGGCTGCACGATCCTCTTCTAGAATGGCCTCATGGCCACAAGTCTTCTCTCCCTCTAAACTTAATCAAAGAAGACTCATCACAGGTACTCTCGGCACTCTCCTACATTACAAAATAATTGGTTAGTTATATCAAAACAACAAAAACAATAACATAAATTACAGAAATCAAATTGATAGTTTAATTACCACCTCATTACTCACGGTAGTGGACTGCAATTCTTTTTTCTTCTTTCGTCTCTTCGAAGCGGTCATAAAATCGGCCGGCTTTTCTTTTTTTTTCCTCCCCTATTTCCTCCCCCGCCGCTCCCGCACCCTCTTCACAATAGAGGAGGCCTGTGGCTTCTCCTGCCGACTTGACATACCGACCGAATCTATCACAGCGTCGGTGTGAAGAGGGGCCTGTGGCTTCTCCTGCCGACTTGACATACCGACCGAATCCATCACAGCGTCGGTGTGAAGAGGGGCCTGTGGCTTCTCCTGCCGACTTGACATACCGACCGAATCCATCACAGCGTCGACGAGTCGGTCCAAACCATCCTGCTCTTCAATTTGTTTCTCAAAGGGTACCAAGGCCCATTCTTTTGTTTCTTTTTCCTCCCCATCCTCCAGATTCTTCTCTTCCTCCTTCTCTTTCTCCTTTTTTTCTTCTTCCTCATAATTGGTCGGGACAAAAAATCCTTCACTAGCAGCAGAAGTTTCTCGTTCATCCTCAGCAGCAGCTGCTTCTGGTTCCTCTTCAGTCACTTTTTCTTCTTTCTTTTTTTCTCTCTCTTCTCCAACAATTCAATTTTTTTTCTCAATTCTTCATTTTCTTGCACAACCATGGCCAGTATACGGGTCTCCATCGTTCCCTCTACATAAAAGATAAAACATAATATATTAATGTTGAAACATAAATATATTAATGTTGAAACATAAATATTAAAGGCAACCTGACACTCCACAAAGCCACGCTCGGCAACCACTGGCGATACCGAGTACACCTGCAAAGCAAATCACAATGATATCGATTAACCAAAAAAATAAAAAGAAGAAGAAAACATAATACTATAAAACTATATAAATTACCTTATGTCTCATCACTTTTTGAAGGGATTTTAAAGACCCTTCGAGTGTAGACGGTAAATGACTCCCCGTCCATCGAAATAGACGGGGAATCGCCTCGAGCGTGGAGCGTTTGCCCAGGGAAGGCACCCGCTCGTACAACCAAGCCTACACAAACATGAAATCAAAATTACACAATCCCACAAATAAATATTATTGTAATAAGAAATTGAAACACATATATACATACCATCAAACCCACAGCACAACCATCGAAATACGAGCGGTCTCTAGAATCGGTATGACGCACCAACAAGGAATTTGTGAGTAGCATCTCCCCATGCATACTCACATGCTCTAGGTAAGGATAAACAAACATAGGGATAGAGTAACTAGAACAGGGAAACAATATACAACTAGAAACAAACAGACATCCTGATGAAGTCGTCAACACGACCTTCATCGACAGAAAATTTTTCCAGCAAATCTACCACATCTTTTCTTTTCAAAACCTTTTTATCTAACCGGCCCCAACTGTCAAATAGGGCTTTACAATCTAAAGAAAGGTCCAAGTCAACACTTAGACACCTTGGCGCAGCCCCATTGTGACACAAAATTCAGTCGGATCAAAATTCAAAACCAATTGATCACCAACAGAAAATGCATTAATGTCAACCCTATATAAGCTAATCAGGGCTTCAAGTCTAGCATGTGAAACAGGGATCTCATGCATATTAAAGAAAAAATAAAAAGGGCTTTGTCGAAGAGATCCCTGATTTATTAACGAAACAGGGATCTCAGGCATATTAACGAAAAACCAATTGATCCCTTTTTATTTTTTCGTTAATATGCCTGAGATCCCTATTTCACATGCTAGACTTGAAGCCCTGATTAGCTTATATAGGGTTGACATTAATGCATTTTCTGTTGGTGATCAATTGGTTTTGAATTTTGATCCGACTAAATTATGTGTCACAATGGGGCTGCGCCAAGGTGGTCTAAGTGTTGACTTAGACCTTTCTTTGGATTGTAAAGCCCTATTTGACAGTTGGGGCCGGTTAGATAAAAAGGTTTTGGAAAGAAAAGATGTGGTAGATTTGCTGGAAAAAATTTCTGTCGATGAAGGTCGTGTTGACGACTTCATCAGGATGTACAGTCTGTTTGTTTTTAGTTGTATATTGTTTCCCTGTTCTAGTTACTCCATCCCTCGGTTTGTTTATCCTTACCTAGAGGATGTGAGTAAGTATGCATGGGGAGATGCTACTCACAAATTCCTTGTTGCTGAGATGGTGCGTCATACCGATTCTAAAGACCGCTCGTATTTCGATGGTTGTGCTGTGGGTTTGATGGTATGTATATATGTGTTTCAATTTCTTAATACAATAATATTACAACATGTGGGATTGTGTAATTTTGAAATCATGTTTGTGTAGGCTTGGTTGTACGAGCGGGTGCCTTCCCTGGGCAAACGCTCCACGCTCGAGGCGATTCTCCGTCTATTCCGATGGACGGGGAGTCATTTACCGTCTACACTCGAAGGGTCTTTAAAATCCCTTAAAAAAGTGATGAGACATAAGGTAATTTATATAGTGTTATAGTATTATGTTTTCTTCTTCTTTTTATTTTTTTGGTTAATCGATATCATTGTGATTTGCTTTGCAGGTGTACTCGGTATCGCCAGTGGTTGCCGAGCGTGGCTTTGTGGAGTGTCAGGTTGCCTTTAATATTTATGTTTCAATATTAATATATTTATGTTTCAACATTAATATATTATGTTTTATCTTTTATGTACAGGGAACGATGGAGACCCGTGGCCATGGTTGTGCAAGAAAATGAAGAATTGAGAAAAAAAAATTGAATTGTTGGAGAAAGAGAGAGAAAAAAAGGAAGAAGAAAAAGTGACTGAAGAGGAACCAGAAGCAGAAGCAGTTGCTGCTGAGGATGAACGAGAAACTTCTGCTGCTAGTGAAAGATTTTTTGTCCCGACCAATTATGAGGAAGAAGAAAAAAAGGAGAAAGAGAAGGAGGTAGAGGAAGAGAAGAACCTGGAGGATGAGGAGGAATAATAAACAAAAGAATGGGCCTTGGTACCCTTTGAGAAACAAATTGAAGAGCGGGATGGTTTGGACCGACTCGTCGACGCTGTGATGGATTCAGTCGGTATGTCAAGTCGGCAGGAGAAGCCACAGGCCCCTCTTCACACCGACGCTGTGATGGATTCGGTCGGTATGTCAAGTCGGCAGGAGAAGCCACAGGCCCCTCTTCACACCGACGCTGTGATAGATTCGGTCGGTATGTCAAGTCGGCAGGAGAAGCCACAGGCCTCCTCTATTGTGAAGAGGGTGCGGGAGCGGCGGGGGAGGAAATAAAAAAAAGAAAAGTCGGTCGATTTTATGACCCCCCCGTCATCCGCTCCGAAGAGACGAAAGAAGAAAAAAGAATTGCAGTCCACTACCATGAGTAATGATGTGGTAATTAAACTATCAATTTGATTTCTGTAATTTATGTTATTTTTTTGTTGTTTTGATATAACTAACCAATTATTTTGTAATGTAGGAGAGTGCCGAGAGTACATGTGATGAGTCTTCTTTGATTAAGTTTAGAGGGAGAGAAGACTTGTGGCCATGAGGCCATTCCGGAAGAGAATCATGCAGCCATTCGATCATTTCTGACGAGCGATCGACTGAAGTAATAGAAATTATTTCAGTTTCTTAATCGTTTCATTCTGTTTATAATATACTAATCAGAATTGCAAATTTTGGTAGCAAAATTGTGTGGAGCAATGAGAGTATGCTGATCCGAGGAAAATTAATTATTGATCTTTTGTTCGGGAACGAGCTGAATTCTGAACTCATTGGTTGCTTCATGGAGATCCTGCGTGGTCGCCATCGTCGTGTTCGCTATCTGCCGACTTATATTCAGGTACTTTATTTTACTATACTCTATTAATTTTACAGATTGTTAAAGTGCTAAGAAAATATTTAATTTGTAGACTGATGTGTTGCGTGCGGTTAAAGAAATGAAGAAGAACAAAAAAGTTTGGTTTCGTGAAGATTACGATGATTGTACTTCTAAGATGACTAGAAGTATTGTTGTCATACTCGATGAGTTGATCAGGTCCTTGAATGGGGTGAAGTATGTGTTTTTTCCGGTGCACCTTCTGATCTTCAACCAGCCGGAGGACGTTCTCGTCTGCTTTCTTTTGCTCCTCCGTAGCCATTTGGAGAGAAATGTTCCTCTTGTCGTTCTGAACATCAAGCTAAGTATAAGTACTTGCATTCACGCACACATAAACAGTCTCAAGTCCTGTGCATTCGCTAAAACAAAAACTGCATCTACAATTGACAGTGAATTACCTTTTGCCTCTCCTCTTCAAGTTTGAGTCTCTCGCGTTCAGTTGCAGCCTCAAGCTTATTCAATTCTTTGCTCCAAGAATCAAGACGCCGCTTTTTATTCTCCAGCTCCAAGTTCAGCATCTCTTGTTCGACGAGAACCCGCTTGATGTGCTCCCGCGCAATGCGTTGCAGCTTTCTTGTTTCTGAAATGTAAAAATTCAAGTTACAACGGTTTAGTTCTTATCAACATATTATTTGGATTGATACATTTTAAAGTTGCTTTGATGAATAAAAATGTACCAATATCCCAATATGACACATCAGTTATAGCTCCAAGAAGATAAGAAAATGTACCAATATCCCAATATGACACATCAGTTACATACCAATATTGATCAAATTAAGGTAAAAGCTCCAAGAAGATAAAAATATACATATATATATATATGGTTCACAGTAAAGGCTAAAAAGTTAATTTTAATTCAAAAGGAAGACCCAAAGTCACAAGAAGACAAAAGGCAGAGACAGAAGGAGAGAATAGTAACCTTCACAGAAAGTGTGATGAAGTTCATCCTTCTCTTCAAGCATTCTAGTGAGCGAAAGGGTCTTCTCATTGTATTTTATTTGCAGCTGACACAAATTCTCGTTTTTCAAGTCAATCTCCTCGACCAGGTCACTCACGATACTATTCCGCTTCTTGGTAAGCTCCGAGATCATCTTCAACTCCCCATTACTGCGCAAGTAATCCCCAACAATCCCTTCCGACTTGTAGTCATCCTCGCCAGCAAAACAACCCAAGAGAATAATCCTTCCGCTCGACCCATTCCTTTCTGTCATGCCCCTGAGCTTGAAACCACTTTTCAAACTCCATAGCATCCAAATAGCTATCGCTGTCAAATCTCATAACGACTTGATCGACTTCTCTGAATACTTGGATCGTCGAAGGCCTGTACCTCGAGAACTTCTTCATCCAATAGCTGCACTCCTCTTCTGTAGAGAAATTCTTTGACTCGTTTTGGACATTGGTCACAATCCCATAAAATGGCCAGATATAGTGCTCGGGTTTGGCGGCAGAAGGCAAAGCGGACTGGAGTTGGATGCCTTGGTCATTTTCCAAGAAGGTTGCAAGGGCAAGATGTTTAGCCCTCATTTTCGCACTTCTAGCTGTGCCCTTGCCAGACCCAATAGCGTGCTGCAGTAAATGATTCAACTCATAATCTTGTTTCTTCTTGCCAGCACAAAATGGGCATCTGAAGGAGCCATTCGGGCCCTTAATCTTGTAAGTTCCATCCTTCGGCAGCTCATATGGTTTCTCTTTGTACTCATTAATCTCTGAGTCACTGATGTCTGATTCCTCTGAACTGCTGCTACCCATCTGGGAACAATTGTGTTAAACACGTGAGCAAAATAATGGAAATAATTGGGGAACCACAACTTAGGTAGAGCCTAGTTACAAATTTTTAGCTACAGATATCACTTATAATTTCAAATGCCACCTTAAACATTCAATTGTTGGGAATGATTCCATGAGCTTTGTGTTCATCTAAGATATACCATCTTCCTGCTGGTCCAAATAGTAAAAGAGGTACAAATTTCATGTTTAACACTCCAGGATTTTCAAATACATATATACAAAATTTAGTTTACATTTATATAAATATATTATTAAAATTCACATGAAAAACTCATCTATTACTATATAATACGATTAAGAAAAAATTATTCAAACAATTCGAAAAAAAAGAATTCGTTTTCCCGCTTCATAATAGTTATTTTGCCGCTTCTATATTACGTGCAAATTTTTTGAATTTATTAACATTTCCCTCATCTTCAATTTGGTAACCAATCAAATCGCAATTGTATGATAGATCCCATGCAATTAAAATAAATACCGGATATGTTAACTAAGGTGATAAGATTTTGCTAATTCATGCGTTATATGGTGCTGATTTTGCGGCTGAATTTAGGTGCTTCGAATTATATGGTTTTGTACTTTAGGTGCTCCGATTTAACTTTTTTAAGTGGATAAACTAAATTAACAGATCTGATTTGCGGCTAAATTCTATGAATATGATGATTCCAAATAATCTTTAATATTCGTACATAAATCTGCCAAATGATTTTAATAATTTTATTAATTTTTTGAATTAATCATTTCTAATATGATTCCAATCAGCAACTCAAATTAACAAATTTTGTTCAGCAGTATTGACCAACGCATGTTTTTAATAATTGAAATTTTAAATCGTTGATATTTCACATATATACAATAATGTACAACAGTTGGAGAATAATAAAAAATCGCAATCATACAATTTATGAAGCTCAAACAGTAAATATATAATAAAACATTCCTCAAACAATAGGATTCTATCTACTATTAAGAATACAACTAAATTCTATCTCTACAAGCATATTTTTAATACAATAAATCACATCATATTTGGAATTAAAATATAACGATTTAAACATATAATTGAGAATAAAATAAAAATATTTCCGAATAATTAGTTGCAAAATACGTCTATCAGAAAAAGTGAATTCATTACTAGATAATTGAAAAGAATCCTATATAACATAAATACTTCATATAATTTATTGTACAACCAAATGCATTCCCATTCCGTTCAATCACTTCATATAAAATATAAACATTCTTAAAATAAAATGATTTTATTCACTTTTATGAATCAATCTCTCGACCTATAACATAACTGTAAACCTATTAAGAGCATCTCCAATGTGAGAGGTTGACTTAATAAAATGTTAGCCACATCATCAAGTTATAAAGTGATTACAAAAATTAATCTCCAATCTATAATGTTATGGACTCTTTTATGCTGACATGGAGACAATAAATATTCAAAGTGTGAAGCTCACTTTCTAGTTTTCCAAAGAGTGTTTGAAAGCCAACTCATAAAAAATCTAACCTATTTTAAGCTTTAGAAAGTGATGCATTGGAGATGTGCATTCCAAATTAAAGTCTTCTCTTTTGACATTCATATTACATGGATTTACATTCCATTCATCATTTGACATGTGTTCAAATTTAATTAATGTTCAAAGTGGAGCATTGGAGATGCTCTAATACTTGAATGAAGAGAATCCAACTGTCGTCTAAAATTATTAATCGAATATTTAATATAGCTACACGTGAACTATTAAGAACAGAATATTGTAACATAAATAAAAAGAATCCTACTAACTTAAAACATCTCTAAACTTTCCTATTAACACGTGCCCTATATGATAGCAATTATGAAACAAATATATTTTCCATTTACCTTTCCTAATATAATATACGGTTCTATTAAAAACAGATTTCGTAACATAAAATAAAAAAGAATCCAAATCAATTAGAACTTCTCTAAACTTTCCTATATATTAACACGTGCCATATATGATAGCAATTAGTAGAATAATATATTTTTCAATTATCTGTTCTTAAATTTTGCAAAACACCATATATTTATTTTCCTGTCATTCAGAATTTTTTTTTTTTTGTTCTAAGTGAAGTACATTGAAGGGAACTAATCCTATGAATTTCTAAGGAAATACATCAAATTTAATTTTCAATTCATATTCATTTTTTTTCCAACAATTCTGCCCCTAATTCGTTTAACATGTGCAGAATGAAGCAGTTCAAACGAGGAAAATCGAAAGACAGCAACAACATACAATCAAAAGGCATCAGAAAGAGAAGATGCTAATCACAAAAACAAGGTTACATTACTCAAATGATATATTGTTATTCAAGAAATTTGAATATGATATGATGTGTTGAAGTTTAAATCGTAATTGAAAGATGAATAATGTTTTTGGGTTTTGTTAAAACTATAGTTTTGTGGATTTACCTTTGATGTTTGGTGACTACATGTTTCGCATTGAAAATGATAAACTCTTATCCAGTTTACTCAAATCGCATCATCATATGCTCGCATAAAAAATATATAAAAAAAGTGATTAGACACTTAACCTACGATCTATGCTTAAATGATGCTTCTTATTGTTTTATGAAAAAACTATGCATATTACCAATCTTATTATTTTTCTAATTTTTTTTAGTAAAAACAAATTCAGAATCCGAGGATAAATGGCCGTCACATTGCAGCATGATGGATAACAATGGGAGACAATTGCAAGAAGTTAGCAAAATAAAGTCTACAGCCTTACAACATGGAATAAGAATCAAATTGACAAGGTGACAATGCAAAACATGCTTTATAAATCATAAATGCAAGTTCTATGTTTTCAAGAATTTTCTATGTATCAATTTTTTGGCTACCTTATTTCAATATCCCTAGAGTGTATAAAAATTGTTGATAATTCACATGTAATCAAAGTGTATTTCTGTTCATATAATTTCCAAGTATGTATTATACATATTTTTGCAAAATTTAAATGATTTTCAACTGTATTATATCACATTTCAACATAGATTAGTAGTTCACTTACCACTCATTTGAAGTATATGATGTCAATTCATGGGTAACAACTTCCACATTTGTATGGCAGCTTTATAAACTACACCTCTATGATGCTTCTGCAAAAAAAAAAAGAAAAAAAAAATGATTTAGAATCATTATTCGAATTATCATTTCATATGAATCATATAACACATTGTTATAAATACACTTACTGAAGCTTTGGTATTTGGTCATACTTGAACTTGAACTGTAAGAAATCACATGCATACATGTAGTTTAAGAATCATATACATTTATAGTTGATTTTTAGCTGAAATATTTAAATCTGCATACAGTTCCTATACAAAACTTATGAGTTGATATGCACTACTCAAGTATTTATCATACATTACAGGTGTTTATATATAAACATGATTATACATCAGATAGAATAATCAACACGTTTAGAAAAATAAGAAAAATTCAGTTATTTTGTTTTGACAACAATAGGCACTACTCAAGAAGGTAGACTGAAAGCAATATAAAGAAGATGGACGAATTAAAACAACTAAGCTCTTTTGAACCAGAATCACGAAAAAACTTAATGACATTGCATATTCTAACCAAACCTATTAATTTCATGTCAGACTTCTATGGTTTTTTTAATAAATTACAATATTCATAGAACATGTTGAAGGTTCGAGTCACAAAAAGAAACTAATTGTAAACCGCCATTCGAAATCAGAACTGTTTTTTTTAAAAATAGTATAATAGTATAATTAATCATATTTTACTGAAAATCAAACAAAAAAATAAGGTCCACCATTTTTTCAGTCTTTTCTAGCAATACATATATATTGTATCAAAGAAAAAACAACAAATTCACAAGATTCAGAAGATTTGTGAATCGATTTTCAAAATAAAAATGAACATGCTTAAAAAAAAATAACACGCAAGGATTGCTAAAAAAAATTCAAACTCTAAGGTAATGTTTGGTTTGAGGGATTTGGAGGGGAGGGGAGGGAAAATATTAGTTTTCTCTTGTTTGGTTAGAAAATTAGGAGGGGAGGGAGAGAAAAATTTTAAGTAATTTTCCCTCCCATCTCTCACTTTTCCTCCCCTCCAAAATTTGAGGGATTTGGAGGGGAAATGTTGTAACATGATGTGAAAATACTATTTGGTCCCTACTTTCAATTGTTGTTAATTTTTTATCTTATTTCATTAAGGATAAATTTGTCATTTTAATTTTATTTTCCCTTCCTTTAATTTTTTAACCAAACAAGGTTTACCATTTTCCCTCCCTTCCCTTCCTGAATAATCCTTCCAAACAAGGTAAAATTATTTTACATCACCTCCCCTCCCCTCCCTTTCCCTCCATTAAAATTCCTCCCCTCCCTTCCCCTCCATTGAACCAAACACACCCTAATAACAAATCTGAAGTTGTTTGAGGATGAACAAACAAAAATTAAAGATAAAACAACAACACCCCCTTTTTTTTCCATTTATGTAACTGTGAATGTAAGATCCACACGAAAAACAAAGGATTCACATAGTTTGTGAATCTATTTCGTATGGAAAATGAAAGAGATGAAAGAACTCGGCTCAGAACATATAGTTTGTTACGAAAAAACAAACAAAAATTGAAGATAAAACAACACCACCCACAAACTTGCAAGATATATGTAACTGCTAATCTAAGATCCACATGAAAAACGAAGGATTCACGTGTTTGATCTTTGATTTTCGAAAGTTGAAAACCAAAAAAAATGAAAGAAAGGCAGAGAAGAAAACAAATCAAATTTCTGAAAACCCTATTATTTCGGGTTTTTCGTTCGATTTTCAAGACCAATGTGCGCCGTTCGATCAAAATGGATTTGTCTTGGGACTTCTTTTACTTCTTTTGGTCTGAATTTTTTTAACTTATGGACCAGATCCATTAATACAATAACAAGTTGTATTAAATTTAAAC